TGATTCTCTGAACACTGACTCCAAATAAGCTAATGATTCTCTGAACACTGACTCCAAATAAGCTAATGATTCTCTGAACACTGACTCCAAATAAGCTAATGATTCTCTGAACACTGACTCCAAATAAGCTAATGATTCTCTGAACACTGACTCCAAATCAGCGAGTGATTCTTTGAACACTGACTCCAGTTCATATTGGCGAGTGATTCAATCTGAGAGAAAACGAAACTTACAGGAAGAAACATACGCCCGGTTTGATCACGCGATTAAACTTCCAATATTATTATACAAATGTGAACGTATTTTGTGCAGTATTTGAAATATGACCGAAATTATTCATGAGAAATTTACATTTTCAATTTAAACAGTAAGAACTATAAGCTGCTTCTAAAAACGTTGTGGGAACATTCTTGAAACGTTGAAATGTCCCGTTTTCTTGTCGTGATTAATGTTATTTAAAGGTTACAAAAACCTTTCTTACAACGTTCCTTTACTCCACCTTTATTTTCACCCAAAACATAACGTCATTTGAATGTTTATTTTTTATTTTCTAAAAATGTTCAAACAAATCATTGCACAAAATACTTGACACCAAGCATGAGAGTCCGTTCCTTTACTCCACCTTTATTTTCACCCAAAACATAACGTCATTTGAATGTTTATTTTCTAAAAATGTTCAAACAAATCATTGCACAAAATACTTGACACCAAGCATGAGAGTTTGGTTATTTAAATATGATAATATAATGAAATTTAGATCATAAGTACACCTAACCAAAAATAATCAGATTACTATAAATAGGCACACATAATTTTTATATTGCTGAGGGACACAGGTATTGCATGGTTTGGGAAACAAAAATAAATAGTGATATTTCAATCAGTCATTCACATCTATTAGGAAAAAGTAGCCTATATTTGAGGATTATGAGGAAAAGGTCAATATGAGGGGAAAAAAAAAACTTCATTTCCTTATTTATTGGAAAGTTTCCTTGTGACAAGTATCTCAAATATTGAGATTATTACAAAGATCCAAGTAAAGATCAAGACAAATTACATTCATTCATTCATTAAAATGCATGTTATAGCTCTAACAATTCATCCGTGTTTACGTTTCTTTTTACATTTTGACTATTTAATCAAATCTTCCAGTCATTTCCTCCGTGTAAGCCCCGCCCCTGCAAGCTCACGCTCATCTGCATACACTTTTAGAGCCACGCCCACATCTCAACATCCAATCAACTGATGCACAGAACCAAGCCCCGCCCAACATTTTGTTACATTTGGATGCATGTCACAATAAAGAAGAAAAGATCTGTCGCTGCTCCCGTTTCATCGTGACTTTAACCTCCTGAGAGTATAAGACACTTTTCTGTAACGTTTATTTTTTTTACTTTTGATTATCAGTATTAACTTCCTCTAAAGCACACAATGCGCTCGCATGATGCCTGATGATCATATAGTCAGGAAATTATGCACTCTGACGTTGAAGACTTCGGAGTAGTTGAGGAATAGGATTGTGAGGG